ATCTATATCTATATCTATATCTATATCTATATCTATATCTATATCTATATCTATATCTATATCTATATCATCTGTCTGTCTATATGTCTGTCTGTCTATATGTCTGTCTGTCTATCTATCATGTATGTATGTATGTATGTATGTATGTATGTATGTATGTATGTATGTATGTATGTATGTATGTATAGTCTATCATCTATCTCAATTATTTCTATTATCCATCAATTATCATCATCATTTCTCTCTCACCTCTTTCTCTCTCTCTTCTCCATCTCTCTCTCTCCCTCTCTATTTATCCGTCTGAATGTTTATGCGCGCCTAAACAATTGACTTCCAGGATTAATCTAAAGTCATGAGGTGACCACAGATAGCCAAAAAAAACCCCCAAACCAACGGATAATCTAACGAATGCAACCAGAGTTTTCACACAAATCACCAGGCTAAATTACCCTACTTTGCACCCAGTATGTAAAGACATAGAAGTTCTCTGAGAAAGGTGGAAAGAAAGAGGGCAACACCAAGTGGATGAATTGGTGACAGTAGAGATAGGTGGGCACAGATCGTCTTGGAGTGAATGTATATTATGTGGTTACTAGAAATCAACACTGATTCAATGGCCCAGAAATCAATCAGTCCGTCAATCAATCAAACAATCAATCAGATCCCTTGTGTCCTCAAGATATTCATTTATACCACTAGTTGGGAGTGGATGAATTATTGTTCCACCGAAATCTGAATTCGTTGTTTTCCTATTTCAGTTAGACATCTGTGCCTACTTTGCATTTCTTACACATTCCAACTCAGTTCCTGTTCCTTTATTTCTGTTCTGTGCCAAGTTATTATTATTACTGCACTTTATCATATGGAAGTCTATTCATCTGCCAGGCCCTTCCATATTTAATATATACAGGATCAACAGAGCTGGGTTCTCCCCCCCCCCCCAAATAAATTTAGACAAACTCAGAATTTCTGCGTGCTTTAAAGGCGTTCCTTCTCCTTCGAGAGCCTCAGAAAATACGTTGAAACATGACTAATATCCTCAAGGCATCATCCGAATTATATTTCAGAGTTTTTGTAGAGCAGCGTCGGCTCTTTCATAACAATAGGAGGCCATCACATGTAGTATAATTATGTTCTATTTCAGCCTCGTGCGTGGTGTCTGGAGGTTATGACAAAACCATCAGCGTGTGGGACATAGAAGAAGCATATCAAAAGATATCTTTAAAGGTACTGAAACACCTCCTATTTTATCAAACGGGGATTCAAACGGCCTCGGTGTAGCTAGTCCTCAACATACAACCACAATCGAGCCCAAAATCTCCATTGCTAAGGAAGACAATTGTTCAGTAAGTTTTGTCCCATTTTACGACCTTGCTGCAGTTGTTAAGCGAATCACTCCAGTTATGAAGTTAATTGTGTGGTGGTTAAATGAATCTGGCAACCCCTCATTGTCTTTGGTTAGGGTTAGACCTCTACCCAGGCTCCAGAGTCTTTCCTGAAGCCTGGGGAGGGTGAAAATGTGTGACCCGTCAAAACCGCGCTCGACTAAGCCACGCCCGGTTAAACCGCGTCATCAACAGGGCGACAACAGCCAGCGCGGAGAAAGAAGGGCGCTTTAAATAGCACACAATTAACTTCA